TGACACGCTTATGCAATAGATTTGTTTTCGACATATTTATTTCGAGTTCATTGTATTGCCATTTCAATTGCTATTGAGACAGTTAAGAGTAAATTGCGTGCAATTTGATCGACAGGCGGCTGAGATTCAGCTGTGATTTGTTTGCCACATTGCGTAGTGAGTGTGGGGCCACGCAATTGCAACTGCAATTGCAACAATTGTGCGTTGTAGGCTGCAATTGATACGATGGAAGGCCCCTGACATGTAAATTGATCACTCTGGTCACTCCGTGCACCACTCGCCCTCGCCACCTTCCACCATCCACCTTCCACTCCAATCCGTTATCAATCTGCAGTTCCCAGACTCGATTGCCCCATTCTTATATCCATATTATATTATTGTTTCCACATTGTATAAAATTAAGATGGCAGAGATACAGGGAGCGGGAGAGATATGCAGCGCTCCAGAGGTTGTAGCGATTATAGAGAGAGAAAGAGAGCCGAGTGAGCACTTAAGATGCTCATAAATTCTGGATACCTGACTTTTTTATGCTCTCCCGAGTAGGATCTGCTAATTTCCACACACACACAGAAGCAGCCCATGGCGGTGTGGTGTGGTGTGAGTGTTAGCAGTGGCTAAAAATGGGCTTTTGATTTACGCAATGTTATATAGATACAGATATAAATATTTGTCTATGGCTACTGCAACACTTCAGATCGACATTGACAGTCCCGCGGTCGCTTTGTAAATTTTCACTCGCTTCAGAACGGTCGTCGAACGGAACCATCTTTGAAAATAAATAGATAAAATATACACACTTTTTGTTGAGATTTTAAAAATCAGACAAGTGACCACAATGACTCGCGAGTGTTGGGATCGGTAAATATCTGAGACACTTGAAGAACCAATCCCTCCTCCCTTTAACCTCAAAATAAATATTCTAGAACCAATTATTGTGAGAGACATCTTAGTGAATTACTCGTATTGGCACAGTTAACAAAATTCACTTAATTTATTATCGGATCTCTTGGATCTGAACGAACTCCAGTCTACCTTTCGAATGGCACCCCCTGATAACAACCACAAATAGATTAGTTATTGTTTAAACGCCATTGTTATTGGCATGCTCTGATTTCTTCATTTTTTGTTGTTGTTGTTGTTTTTTTGACAATTTATCTACGAATTTTGACAGCTGAATGAGCAATCAAAAGAGACATGTATCTCTGTATAAAGCAGATTATCTTTCTGCCAGCAGTTTCAGTCTCTTTATGCCCACGACAAAGTGAACTTCGTGGTGTCCGTCCAAAATCATTGTTGAAAAATCGATGACATGCCATCGAGCCGTGAGCAGGAGCAGCCGCCACTTCAGGGGGTGGAAAATCACCCTCAAGACTCGGGCCCCGCTGAGGAGCAAATGAAAAGGTCTCGATGAAAACTTCAATTAAACACAACTATAATCGAAAGCAGATAATGGAGGAGGAGATTACCTTTAATTGAAAAGCTTAATGCAACGATAGGATAGAATACGCGTAAAATACCAAATGATTGATGAAGTGATTCCGTCTGAAAGAGCCAGAGACAGTGTGGGAAAGGGAGATAGAGAGCGAGAGAGGGCTGAAGTTCCACCTGGATTTATATATTTACCGTTTTCAGTTGCTTGAAAGTATTCAAAATGAAGGGATCGACACTGGACAAAATCTGCTGCTTCCTGGCCGAGCTCATCGGCACAGGCATGCTGGTCTTCCTCGGCTGCATGGGATGCGTGAAGTCGGACCTGTTCCCCAACAACCATCTGCAGATTATTCTCAACTTCGGTCTGGCGGTCATGATCTGCATCCAGTGCTTCGGCTGTGTGTCCGGCGCCCATCTCAACCCAGCGGTAACTGTTGCCGCCTACATCTACGAGTTGGTCACACTTCCCATGGCCTTTGTCTACTGTGTGGCCCAGATGCTGGGCGCCTTCATTGGCTACGGCCTGCTGAAGGTTCTCCTGCCCGAGGACACCCTCAGTGCGGGCGTTGGCCTGTGTGTGACCTTGCCCCACAGCAGCATTAGCCATGCTCAGGCCTTTGGCATTGAGTTCGTGATCACTGCCATCCTGGTGATTGTCTGCTGCGGCGTCTGGGATCCCCGCAACTCCAAGTTCCACGACTCTGTTGCCATTCGCTTCGGTCTGGCCATTTCCTGCCTTGCCTGCGCTGCCGTAAGTTCCGCCTTGCACCTTGATCCTTTCAGTCCAACAAGAAGTCTAATGTTTCCTTCTTTCCAGGGTCCCTTCACCGGTGCCAGCATGAACCCGGCCAGGTCCTTTGCTCCTGCCCTGTGGAACGCCCACTTCGATTCCAACTGGATCTACTGGCTGGCTCCACTCAGTGCTGCCGCCGTTACCGCCTACGCCTACAAGGCCGTCTTCCGGCGGGAGGTGGTGGAGGCGGAGATCACCAGCCACGAGAAGCTGCGCCAGCTGGAGGACGTACAGCTCTCGTAGAAGCGGACGAGGATGCCAAAGACATTGCAACTACACTTAACTTTAAGCTAAGACAGCCGAATTTTATATTAATGCAATATAAGGCCTTCGATAATAAAGAACATCGAGATTTTTCAACTATTTTAAAGAACCAGAAGAACTTTAAATTCGATGGGGAGGGAAGCTATTTTCTTTCCTGACACGGCAAGCCCCTCAATGAAAATCAAAACTCTATACGATTATTCCTGATGGTGGGATGCTTTCACAAAACGGTTTATAGAAGCCATCATCAACCCATCAAGACCTGCTAGTCTCTCGGAAGTACTCTTCCATAGCACTGCCTCGCTGATGGAACGTGTTTGAATGTGTCCTGTGGCACTACCACTGTCAACCACAGGTTTCCTTCAGCTTTTGGCTCCCTTTTCGCGTTTTCTGCTCTTCAGATAAGTTCTCTAGTCTGTAGTTCTGCTACCACTAGTTCAACTTCCAGCAACAATCAACTGGCTAAAGTTTTCATAATTTGGAGGCCCACATTCCGCCCCCAGTCCCAGTCGAGACTACGAAGCGTGTGTTGTCCAAGGCTCGGCGCCACATGCGCCCTCTGATTAAGATCTTAATGATTCGAGATAAGATTAAGAGCAAATCGCGGGAAATGCTGCTGGCCAATCAGAAGGTGGCCGTAGGCAGTGACGCTGTGGGGCTTGTCAGGCCGATAATTACAGCAGAAAAGCCTCCTGAAAATGCTCTTTGATTAATTGATCCGTCCGGAATGGGCGGCGACGGACAGACAGAACAGGGCCACACAACAGCGCAGTATATCTACGCGCCTCTACTTGGAAATATCCATATGATAATTAGCATTAAGGTTTTATAATTGATATTGATTGATTGGAACCAATTTAAAGTCACAGGCCTCGCAAATACGCCAACTCAGTTGGCCAGGGAAAGAGTTGGTGGCAGTCGAGTTTAGTCAGCATGTCGCAACAGAAGCCAAAACAAGCAAGCGGATTCTCCCCCTCCGGCGGACGATGGCGTCTCCATCAGAAGCACAGGAGTCGAGTGGCCGCCTTCTTTGGGGAGCTGGTGGGCACAGCCATGTTCGTGCTAATCGCCTGCTGGGGCTGTGTCCAGACGCCGATCTTCAACAACACGCACTTTCAAAGCGGCCTCACCTTCGGCCTGGCAATCCTCATAGCCATCCAGTGCTACGGTTCTGTGTCCGGGGCACACCTCAATCCAGCCATTACCCTCGCTGCCGCCGTGTACGGCGTGCTCCACTGGGGAATGGCCATTGCCTATTTTGTGGCTCAGGTGGCGGGCGCTTTCATTGGGTACGGCCTGTTGGTAGCCGTCCTCCCCCATAACGCCATTAAGGGCGTGGACAACCCGGCAGGTGTATGCGTGACAGTCCTGGCCAGTGACATCTCTGTGTTACAGGGCGTGTTCATTGAGTTCCTCATCACCTGTTGCCTGGTGATGGTTGCCTGCTCGGTGTGGGATCCCCGCAATGCCAAGCTCAAGGACTCGGTGCCCGTGCGCTTCGGTCTGACAGTGTCCTGTCTCATCATTACAGCGGTTAGTATAGTATGAGACTGCAGTTTGAATGGCATCATCGGTTTTTTTCTCCTTTAGGGCCTCTTCACAGGAGCCAGCATGAATCCCACTAGGTCCCTGGGTCCTGCTGTGTGGAACGATTCTTGGGAGCACCATTGGATCTATTGGGTGGGTCCTCTCGTGGCAGGCGCTGTCACTTCCCTCATCTACCGATTCGCCTTCAAAGGAGACGAGGTGATCGAGCTACGGAGCTCGAATGCCAAGATTCGGGTGATCGAGGAGGTGGTACTGCCCTAAGTTGTTGTTAATCGCTGTCTTAGCTGTAGTTTTAGAATCTTAAGTTTTCCAATAAAGAGGATTAATCGTTTTCCATAGCATACATTTGGGAGGGTAAATTGAACTACTATTGAATCAGCTGACTGCCGACTCTGTAGCTATATAGTTTATGCGTCACTGGAAAATTTAACCAGAGATCCCTATCAATGAGTGTAGTATTGTATATAAATGTCTTCATTCAAACACTATCATTAATCGGCACATATGTGTGTCGTTGAGATAAGCAGCAGATGGCTTATAAACCAACCAGACAGCTGGAATTTTGCACACTAGACACCACAATAACGACCCCCTGCCCTTGAGCTAAGTGAAATATTTGGCAGTGCTGGAAGTGTATTAAGTAAATAGAGGCACTGCCAATAGATGGGGCTGGGGCTGGGGCGATTAGAAATCTTGATATTTGATTGCTGTAGAATGTCGTAGATTATGCCGATTAGATTATAGATTTAATCTTGTACCCGTAGTATCTCGTTCCCATTGAGCGCTTGAGGTGCTGTCTAAGTAGGTGGACCTCTAAGAGCTCTCAGTCAGCGACGGAGCTCGTTGGAGTTAAGGTGATTTGCAGACATGTCCAATACAAGCACGAGGTGATACTCGGATGAACACAGCATAGCCATCATACATCATATCCCGACTGACACATCCTCTTTGTTCTCTCTTGCAGTCGCTCGTCCTGTTGGCTGCTTCAGCCTCGGCAGTTGAACAACATCTGCATCGTCTTTGCCGAACTAATTGCCACAGCCATGCTGATGTTCCTCGGCTGCATGGGCTGCATCGAGAATTCGTTCTTCTCCAACTCCAACTTCCAGAGTGCGCTCAACTTCGGCTTTGTTGTCCTGATCTGCATCCAGTGCTTTGGCTGCGTGTGCGGTGCCCATCTCAATCCCGCCGTGACGTTGGCCAACTATATCTACAACATGATCTCGCTGCCCATGGCCATTTCCTACTTTGTCGCGCAGATGGTGGGGGCCTTCATCGGCTACGGTCTGCTCAAGGCCGTCATGCCAGAGAGCGCCATATACAGCTCTAGCTCGTCGAGTGGCGTCTGCGTAACCTCCCTCCACAGCAGCCTGACGGGGCTGCAGGGCGCGGTCATCGAGTTCCTGATCACCAGCGCCCTGATTGCCATTTGCTGTGGCGTCTGGGATCCGCGCAATGCCAAGAACCAGGACTCGGTGCCAGTGCGTTTCGGCCTGGCCATCGCCTGCCTCTCCTTGACTGCGGTAAGTAATTTGCTGAGTTCTGCTCTCTGGACAGTCCGGTAATGTGTGCATTGATTCCGTTTTCAGGGTCAGTTCACAGGAGCCAGCATGAATCCGGCCCGCTCCTTTGCCCCGGCCATTTGGAACGGAGCCTGGGAGAATCACTGGATCTACTGGGTGGGTCCCCTGGCAGGAGCTCTCGTCTCATCGCTCATCTACAAGTATGCTTTCCGACGAGAGGTTCAGGCACAGGAAGAGCAGGAATCCACCATGTCCACCAAGCGGACCTCTGAATTAGAGTTCGCCTAGCGAGCAAGAGATCCCTTACAAGACAACATATCCCATAAGTGCTTTAAAAGCGGCTTAGTTTTTAGTCTCACTCGCCCTACTATACAAATAAATACTATAAATTAAATCCGCCGGCTTCCGTGTGGGGTGGTATGATAAGCCATGGCGAGATTATTTTGTTACGTGCTTATCGTTAATATTCATATAGAAACACTCGTAAAAATTGCTGCGAATTAGCCTAAAGATATGACAACAGCTACAACCGTACTACCGAACTGCTTCTTACTGCTTCTTATTATATGAGGACTTTTCGTGCTCCAAGTGATGGAACTACCATACGTGGAGGGCGGAACAGAACTAGACCGTTTACAGCTTTGCGAGCGGGATGTATTAATCTGTTAAATTTATAATACCTTTCAGAGGGTAGTATAAATAATCATTGTTAGTGCTAAAAATGAAGGAGGAAATATTGATTGTTTTGGAATGAACGTTCGTACGCTTTTAGTGCAACAAAAAATATAGAAATTTCGCATGCGATAGCATTTTGTTAGCTAAGTGTAGTACGAGATGGGGTTCATCGAGTTTTAGGTTTCTTAATGCTATGAGGGATAAAATTATATGAAAATGGGATTATATTAGCTTTTAAATATTGGGTTTCGGTGGGCTGTGCTACGGAAATAAATGCCCGCATTTCTTTCACATACCCTGTCTTCTTTTACCATAAGAATGTTACACTCAAGTCTAGTGGAATACAACAATATGCAAAAAAAACGGCAATTTCATTAAAAATATCACAAGCGATTTTAAAATACTAGGACTGGGGCTCCATCATGGGACACGGCGCGGAGCCTAAAGTACTTTACAAAATTTTTGAATAAATAATTTTAGCCGATCAATGCAGCAATTTTCTATAGGATTGGGCAATTTTGCAACGAGTAGATTTATTGTATTATTTTTAAATATTTTAAAACAAAAAAGTCCAAACAAATTTCGCAAACTTATTTTCTGCATGTTAACTACGCGCTGACTACACTTTTGATACATATGAACTACATGTCGGATGTAATTATCAACAGACACCTGACGGGGAAATGCCACAACAACAGTGGCTACACTCCAAAGTTGCCTGCTCTGAAATGCCGGCTGCTATCTTAGCAGCAAATAGACTCAGCAAATAGAAGAACAAGAATATAACGGTTGTGTAGTGGTATGGTGGGTAGGGCGAAATTTTGAATAGCCTTTTAGAAGGGGTCTGGACAACAGGAAAAAGCAGCTCCAAGAAGGCCGATATTCCCGGACAAGCGATAGCAAGATAAGCATAAGACGAAGAATCGAAAGCACAAGAGGGGTAATTCTGAGGTAAAAATGCGATCGATGAAAAAAGTAAATATAATTAAAAACTTCACTACTCTAGGAGTCGTTTGACGTACAAGATGTCACACACATTTTCGAAAATACACAGATACACATTTCTCATTTCTGGCTGAACTAAATTTCCTTTCTTGGCGCACTTCCGCAAATTCCGGTGGTCTCCTGCGTATTGTTGCGTATATCAGATGAGTAAGATGATGAATAAGATATGGACTCAATTCAGGGGTGGCTGCTTATTTCGGTAAGGATTGATTCACACCACATAATCCTATACTAAGCTGAGCTTTGGCCATTTCACAGAGGATATTTGATTAAGTTCAACAATAGTATTACCAGCCAAATTAAAAATGATCTGAAAATCGAAGAGTTGCTAACGGTAAGATAGATAGATAGTGATGATAGTGATGGACTTCTCCATAACACCACTCAATTTGTACAGGAACGGAAGCAACTGGAGACAAAAACCGGCACGCTCACCAAGCAGGTCAGGGGACTAGAGGTCATGGTCTCCGACTTGACGCGGGCTATTAAACGCACAGAGTTCGATAAAGACATGGATCTGAGAATTAAAGAGACAGCAAAAAAAGCACCAGCCGAAAAAGGGATTGAGATCAGCCCCACCTCGACATCTTCTCCGTCAAACAAAAAAAAAATCACCCAGTGTCGGTGATATGAGTTGATGCAAAAATCCCCTCGAGTGGTTCACAGGGGTTTCATTATCAACAGAACGTGTCGGAAACCTATAAAAGCATTCATCTCGACTGAGATTGGCATTCAGAAAGCAAAAGATTCCAAACGATGAAGCTGTTCGCACTGTGTTGTCTGCTGTTCGCTCTACTCGGATGCCTGGTCTCTCCAAGCTATGGCTCGCCATCCCGTCACAGCGGAGGAGGAACTGGAGGAGCGCCTGGAGGAGCTGGAAATCCTTTCAGACAGCCGCCCGCACCACGTCCTTTCATCTATGACGCGCCGATCCGAAGACCGGGTCAACCAAAAACTATGTACGCTTAAATCAACAAATGTGACTTAATAAATTTACTAAATATGAAAACAGAAATTTTTGTGTTTTTATCAATGAGAGCCAGCGAAAAGCTGATCGGAGCTTTGTTTGCCTTCAGAATCTGAATTAAGGTTTCTTAATTGACGATCTGTTATAGCCCCCCATTGTGATTACGAAATATACACAATCATCATATGGGGATTTTTCTTCTTATCAGGTAATCAAGTGTTTGAGAATTTCTGGCGTGATTCATTGATGGATCGCTCAACGAATACTATTGAATTTTTGAGGCTCTACGTATATGGTTAAATATTATGTAGCCTCACTTTATTTGTCAATCATGTTAGCGTAAATAAATATTTTATCCAAATTCCGAATCATAGAAAATGTCTAAAATTGTGAATCTGCTAAGCTCGCAATTCGCTATAAGGCGTTTGCACCCACAGAAAATATACAACCTTCCAGCAGTCAAGTATGTTCTATAAAGACATCATATTGCATAATCTCCCATAAAGACATTAATTCTTTTTCAACCAGTCGATATTCGATCAAATTCTCTTACCTAGGCAGTGTCAAGAGGTCTAACATCCCGTATATGCAAACGGTTTGTTAATAAGTCTAACATTTTCGAATTCTCCATCTAATAGATCTTCCATTCCAGAAGCAACGCGATCGGTTGGAAATTATACGCAAGAAAATCAAAGCAGAACGAGAGACACTTAAATCTAAAATTGAAAAAATTCAGAAGCTTATAAATAATTTGGAAAAATTAAAATCAAACCCCGAAAAGAAGTCATAAAGACACAGTAAATCAGGTTAGCTCTGGAAAACAGCTCTGTAGTATCGAGCAGTTTGGAATTCTAATTTTTGAAATTTTTGGCCCATGATGTTTGGAGCCGTCATCAAAGCCATAAGGCTTCTGAAATTCAGAGATGTCCTGGCCACAAGCGGTCTTCAGTGCGTATGTTCGGCTTTCCTGTATTCTTTTATAACCTTTTTCCAATAACCAATAGACGGGGAGTAAGCCGGGACAAAACAGGAGAAGAAAAGCATCATTTTAAGAGAATTGTGAGTACTTGAATCAATCAATCAATCTTTAACGAAGTTGTATATATGTATGTATATGCCTACGTCGAAAAGGAAATGGAACAACTGAAGAAAATTAGGCAGAATGTAATTAAGGATATGATGGCACAGATCGAGGCTCTGAAATACGAGATCAAAACCATTGACAGAGGGTTTTCCGAAGACAAAGAGTCAGTCAAAGAAGAGTTGTTGGAAAAAATCGAGCAGCTAAAAACTGAAATCGAGAAAATAAGAAAGACGATTGGAAAAAACGATTGAAAGTAGGCGATCTTTCTAGTTTCAATCTGCCTCTGGCATTCCTTCACATTCCTTAACAGTAAAATAAATTTCAAGTAATTTCAAAATTTTCATAGATAAATACATTTTTGTTTGGATAATTCTTTTAAATTCACCGAAAATTATCAGAAATGCAGAAATATCTTTGCAACACGCTTCGCCTTTTAGCTCCCCCCAAATGTTGTTTTACACAGAGCTTCAAGTAAGTATTCAGATAATCGGGAAAAGTCTATTGCTGTATTCGACAATATTTATAGGAATGCTAGCAACTTCTTGTACGAAAGAGCCAGAGCCGGAGAAAATGTTCACTTCCTGAAAATAGTACGTATTTGTGATCTGTATCCGATTTGGTAATGGTGTGAATTGTTTAAACATTATCCAGCAAAGAGAACAACTGATGAAGCTGCGCTCCAAACTGATGATGCAAAAGGTGCAGGTCATTGAAAAGATCGACAAGGTGGATGAGCAGATTGAGAGAATAACGGCAAAATCCGATGAAGACAAACAGGCACATTGAAGGGGAACAGCACTAAGGGAAATACATAATATTTAATCTGAAATAAATTAAGAGGGCTATACCCAAACTGTTTTTTTCTTTCGTTTTTTTATTTAAAATAATTTGTATTTTCTCATTTACATAGAAGCCTTTCAGGTCCGAGGGTTTTCTTTCCCTCTTCAAAGACCTGCCTGATAGTGGGAGCTTTCTTAAACATACGATATATATATGGGGCTGTTTTTGTTTTGTTTTTGTTTTAATCATATATGGTAACAATTTGTTTTGCAGCGCAAATGGTAAATAAAATATTGAAATTAACCTTCATTTAATATGGCATTCAAACAAACATCTATATGCACACACACATGTGCATTAAGAGAGGGACAGGGCATACGTGTGGGTATACGTATACACAAATCAAAATAAAGTCTATACAAAGATAAAATAAATACAAGTTCAAATCAAAATCAAAGATGACTCCACATGTGTGTAGGGCTGCTGCGCAAAATACAATACAGTACATCCTCCTGAATAAGTCGGATTAGCTTAAGAATACAAAAAGAATCGCCTATAGATATACTCGTACATGTATGTATGTACATATATGTATAAGCAGACCGTTAGTGGTGGTAGCAGAACGTAAAACTGAATTCAAGAACGTAAGTACAATACATTTGTGGTAGTTGAGCAACTTGGAGAATGATATTCCCTAGTACGAACTATAACTACAAACTAAAACTTGACTTGACTTGGTCAAGTGCTGGTGAGGCCAGAAGAGAGTGTTTTTGTGTATGGGTGGGTTGGGTGTGGGTGTGTGTGAGGTAGGCTTAATGGGCGGGCGGGCGGCCGAGCGAGCGAGCGAGAGAAATATGGCATACTTTCGAGCGTCTCCTGGTCCTCCCTTCATCTGTGGCTTGGTTGGGTTCGCGTTGGGGTTGGGGTCTGTGTGCGGGATTCGCTTCTAGCTTTTCAAATACTGATCAACAATGCCAGGAATGTTGTGGTAGCATGCAACTCGGTGTCTCTGTTTGTGACTGTGGGTGTGTTTGTGCGTGTGTGTGTGTGGACAGATATGAATCCTGCTTCTAACTTAGGTGTAAAACACTATCTCTAACTCTAGCCGATCTCCAGCTACGCCCTCTACCTGCGAACGGAGCCATGGAGTCGTCTGTTAAGGCTACAACTAACATAACATGAAACGCTGCTCGACTGACGCCCGCTGTGTCCTAACTGGGCAGCCGCTTGCTGGCCAGCTCCTGCAGCTTCTGCAGCGCCAGGGTCTTGTTGATCTCGATCAGGTCACGGCTGTGCTTGGCCGACTGCAGTTGCACCTCGAGGATCTTCATGCGCATCATGTGCTCCTTGCTCTGCATCTCCATGAACAGGCGCAGCTCGAAGTTGTTGCTGCTGGAGCTGCCAGTCGCGACTCCAACGCCAACGCCAACGCCTACGCCATGACCGTTGCTGCTGCTGCTGCCCGAACGCTCCAGGGCCTGGCAGTCTGTCGAAGGCGGCATGGATGTGGTCAAAGACTGCGGCTGATCCTCGATTCCCAACATGCTGCCGCTGTTGGTGCGCCGACGCTTGGGCAAAGGCTTCAGCAGATCATCATCGTCCTCATTATTGTTGTTGTTATTGGTGCTCTTGTGCTGGTGCTGCAGGGCGACCACCTGAGCTTGTGCCTGTGCCTGAGCCTGATGCTGCTGGATGGCGGCGGCCGCAGCAGCTGCCGCACTGGGGAACTGGCCGGTCCTCAAGGCATTGAGAGCCTCCAGCGTGGCGGATATGTTGTTCATGTTGAAGTTGGCCTGGAAGCCGGACATGTCGGGTCCGCCCGGGAGAAAGCCGCCACCGCCGCCGGTACTCGCATCGAGAGCAACGGCTGTCGAGACTGTGGCCGGACTCTCGGCCTCGTGGATCCCGTTGCGACTGTGATTGGGTGACACACTCAGACGCTCGCCACCGCCTAGGATGTCGCTCTGGTTGAGATGGTGACTGTTGTATTTCTCATCAAAGGTCTCGTTGTGTTCCTCTTCCTTGATGTCCACATCGCACATCTCCTGCGGTGGGGTACGACTGCTGCTTGAATGGAGAATATTGTTAGTTATAGATATCCAGCCGGAGGGAAAGATCTTTAGCATTCCACTTACTCGTCCATTTCGTGCTCATCCCCATTGAATTTGTAGTCCTCGCGATACTCGAAACCCTCCTCCAGGGCCAGTGGAATCTTTGAATAGTCAATGCCATCCAAGGCCTCCGACTTGCAGGCCTTCTTCGCCTCCTGCATAAAGTCCCACACCTCGAAGGTGAACGGTGACGGCTTCTTGCGATCAGCCACCTCTGCCCCGAACCTGGCTAAACGATTGTTATAGTCGAGTATCTCATTCCGGGTGCAAGCTGATGGAAGAAAGATGTTTTTAAATGTTAGGACATTAATTTATTAGATGAAAGGCATCTTTCTGATGGCACATACCCTTCATGCGGCGCCACTGCTCCTTGAGGCGATTGCAGGTGCGATCGGTGCCAAATTGATTTGAAAACTTCTGGTGTATGATCTTCCAGGCCTTGTTCTTGACGGCTGTGAGGCCGGCATCCAGGCGCTTGTTCTCTATGATCCGCATATCCTTGCGGCACAGATCTAGCAGGTACTTCTTCTCCTGATGATTCCAGTTCTGGGTGCGTTCCCGTTTCTTGTACATGTTCATCGATGGATTGTTCATGTACTGTGTCATCTCTGCGAATGGGATGGAATATGGAATTTTAACGGTCTGGTAGGAATGCGGTAGGCGGTAGGCGGTAGGCGGTAGGCGGTAGGCGGAGGGTTAATGTATAACTTACCCGTCTTCAAGTCGACGCCCTCCAGCAAACTGTGGTTCGAATTCTGCCAGTTGGCGGCTATCTTCATAAAAGCCTCCAGATCGTTGGCCGTATACTGTTTGTTGACCTGCAACGAGTAACGAGAGAAATGAGAATCGAGATATCGCAAATGTGGGAGCGAGAATCGAATCGGAATCGGAATCGGAGTCATTGATTAGTCCTCAAATTACCGGCAAATCTGAATTATAATTCCATTCCCCCTTGGGTCTGTCAGGTACATACTTTGGCATGCAAAGCTTGTGCCACATTCCCCACCATAAGAAGCGCTGCTTTGAGACGCACTTCAAGATTCAATGAACTTGATAATGATGACGATGATGATGATCGGATCGTTTCGGCCAAACCCGAGACAAAATGAAATATTTCGTGTGTCGGAGTGATACTCCGGGCACATCAATTAAACTTTTTTGTGGCGGTGGCCATTCCCGTAGGAGTCAATGAAAACAAAAGGATTTTGAGTCTGGAATTGTTATTTTCTTCATCGTCGTCTCCATCTTCTGCTCTTCTCCCTCCCTTGCATTACTTCTGGCTGCTTGATTTCTGACTTTGATATGACCAGAATGGAGGCGGCTGCATCTACAGTCGCATTAATTGATTTTCAATTAGCGGACAGGAGACTGGAAAGAGGGGTGGGAGGCACACAGGCATATCAGTCAGCAAATGTTTGCAGGCCATAACGAAAATGGGCTAAGAGGAATATGAATATGAATATGAACAATCGAATGATGTGAAAGAGACAGAGCGACCCACAGAAAACGACAAATAAATAATGCCATGAAACGCGTTTTAATTTATAAATTAACAAAACTCACACACACACACACGCACACACAGATGCGGACATTTTGCTCGGAGTATCTGTGTGTGTGTGGATCTGTGCTTGAGTGTGGGGGCGATCAAACGTCGCACTGACAGCCAATTATACCAAGATCAAATACACTCAAGCAAGCATCTACAAATTCTTCAAGCATATACCCTATACATCCATATATATGTACATACATATGTACATATATAAATCAATACATCCATGTGGTGGCACATATTGAGCATATCCAATGCTCGCTACAGTGAAGCTGGCCTACAGCGGCCAACAAGCTGATTTCTTCTCGAAGAAATTATCTGGAATCTATGTAAACTAGACTCCGAACATCTGCCCTTACAGATCTCCGCAAAAGCTCTTGCCCTACCCCTGTCCCTACCTCGACCCGATCATATGTACGATCGTCAATCTTTAAGTACGTTTTATGGTGCTTTATTTTATTTCAGTTTTGTTCAGCGACCGATTCCGGTGTCTCCTCCTTCGGAAACCCACAAGTCTTGAAGAGGGAGGGGACTGGGGGACTGGGGGACTGGCTGTAGAAACTGCGCCATGTGTTCAATATTTATGCCGTATCTGATTTACAATTTATACGTGTATATGTGTGTGTGTGTGTACACATATATAGTAAGTACGCAGATATGTAGATACATTTGTATTTATCGCATACGCTCGACGAAGTCTATGAGATCCAAAGGAAACTTAGTCATTGGCATCGACAACGACATCGACAACCGACAGCGGCGCGTGCGCTTATTATTATTATATTTATTTGTACTCTTCCTATGTGTACGAGTACATATACACACACACACACACACACATATCCACTATATTTCTTAACGAACAATTAATTATTATTGTCGACTATTATGGTAGTGTTTAAATTTTAGTCATGAGTTGGCTGGACTTTTGGGTTCGGTATTTTCGGTATTCAGAGAATAATTGAAATGCGAGGCGAGTGTTCTGCTCTGTTCTGGCACTGAGCGCGCTTGCCGGCCAAGTTAGTCCAAAGATGAAGTTGAAAGATGCAAAAAATGATGGCAGACTGGAAGTTCTGACACCTCCCGAAATGCCTCCCAAATGCCTCCGAAATGCCTCTGAAATGCCTCCCAAATGCCGCAATTTATAATCAAGTCTTGTGTCCGGCAATTTCGAATTGTTCCTAAGTTTGTTTAATGGGCTGCCAAGACCAAAAGTAATATCTCTATTAGATTTAATATTTCCTGTGTTCCAATTAGGGATCCTTGGTAGCTTCCGAGGCAGTTCCCTGACTGGTGCATATCGAATATGCCTCAATGATCTAAAGATCAAACAATAATCACTCCCTCCTTCAATCAATGTTACTTCAAAAATTAAGCATTGAAATTACTAAATAAGCAAACTGGTTTACATTTCCAGCGACTGTGTGTGTGTGTGTGTGCTTTGGATTTTTATCTATATTTATTTTTTTCGGTTAATATGAAAACGAAAAATAATTACTGTATCTACATACATGCCCCTCAACAATTGTGAACCTACACACACGGAGCGTCTACAAAAGTCAACCTTGTGCCTTAAAATAAAGCAAGGCATTGTCTGTTGCCCACTACTACCAGCAGAGGTATAGCAGATACCAGATACCGGAGACAGACCAGACCAAACCAGACCAGAGACCAGGCCCAAAGACGACCATGCTCGATATACCGTAAGTACGTATCCATTGCCCGGGCAGGCAGTCCGTGCTTTGTCCGTGCTTTGTCCGTGCTTTGTCCGTGCTCTGTCCATGCTCTGTCCGTGCTCTGTCCGTGTGTGTGGGTAATTACCACAAATTAACGATCGAATGAACGAACAAACGAACAACTTATTGTATTCTGCGGCATGCCTTAGCCCCAGCCCCAGCCCCAGCCCCAGCCTCAGCCCCAGCCTCAGCCTTAGCCTTAGTACGGTGAACTATTTCTGTCAACAACAAAAGTTAAAGCAGCGTTATAGTTCAAGCCAAATGAGAAATTTCAAATGGTAATGGCAATGGGAGTGGGGCATAAATGGAGCACACCACACACACACACACACACACACACACACACACATTCTGATGGAGCTGTAGATGGAGTACAGCTATGGTCGTGCCCTGCGACTGATTCTGAACCTGGAGACGAATCGTTAAACGTTAAACTTTCGAGCACTTGAAATGATTTTACACACACAGAAATTCTCTTGCCCACGTTCTGGATTGCTGTTGAATGCCGCTGCTGCTGCTGCGTTGTGTAGCATAAATTTATGTATTATAATAATTGTACAGAGAAAACTAAAAACGAAATGTCATCGAACGTTCAAGTGGCCGAAAAGAGCTCCCCTTCATTGCCCTACGTTTCCCCTCGTTCTCCTGCATTTTGGGTCTTTCGAGTGGCGGGTACGTGTAGTGGTGGAGTGGCAGGCAGGCAGGCAGTTGTGTGGCAGTTAGGGCATTCATTGATTTGAATGCTTAAATCAAAGAAAAGAATTTGTTGTGCGCTGTTTATTGTTCTAACGTTGGTCGGAGAGCGCCTTAAGTGGGAACCCTGCCGCAGGTTCAAGATGCGAACATTTCTCGCTCTTCCGACTACTCGAACAATTTCTCTTCATACGAGAGCGAGAGAGAGAGAGAGAACGAGGAGTGTAAATATTTTTGGAATGATATTTACAATTGGAGAATTTCTTAATTGCTTTACCAGAAATATTCGATAATACAGGAAATCTCAGTTCTTTCAAGTGGATGGAATACTCTTAAGCGGGGATTGGATAATGGCATCTTATGATATTTCATTAGATATTCGTATGACGAATAGGTTTATCTTTCATTGAAATACCGTCTGTTCTTGTATTAATTGCATTCTTATGTTTTATCAGTAAATTCTTATGAATATTATCTGGAGTTTAGAAATGCTAGAAACGTCAGCTTTTGGCGTGTTCTGTTTATGATAATAGTCATAGATTACTCTGACAGATTACTCTCATATAGATCTCAGTTATTCAAGAGTCATAATTTGATATAAGACCTTAGTTTGTTTCTCTGCTGCCGCTGGTGCCGCAGCTGACGGAAATTGACTCATGGCTTTGGCTTTGGCTCTGTGTGACTCTGTGGCTGTTTCTGGGGCTCTCGGCGAATTATGCTCCAGGTGTGCATGGCATGACACGGCTGCCGAAACAACAAATTTATTAGAAATTTGTTGCACACACACACACACAAACACACACTGCGACAGCCACTGTGGCACATTTATGCAAACAAATAAACTAATTTCATGACGCACACGCGCGCCTGCGCAGTTGTCAGCGCAAAAGTCTCTGTGTGTGTGTGTGTATCTGTGTGCTACTTACAATTGTAACTAAAAAAAAAAAAACTATATAAGATTTTTCTTTGTCAGGCATTTGGCTTTGTCTACTACGGGCCTGGCCTACACCCAAAAAAATATATAGAAAGAGAGGGGGAGAGAGAGAGAGAAAAATCATGGGTTCATCGACTTCTCTACTCCTCATCGGCGACGACAAATTGCGCTTTGTGCTGCGACAATTGCCAGCCAGGCATCGAATGGGAAGTGTCTGCTCCGCTCTGCCCCCTACCCCGCCCTGTTCCCCCCCCCCCCCCCTCCCCCCTTCAACGTCTTTAGTGCTGTCTCAACGACGCATGCGTAGGTCTAAACTTACTAAATTATTATTGTTGTATTTCATTAGTCAGCCCCCAAACCCCCAGACCGAAACCCAAACCCAAACCCAAAATCCAAAATCCAAGCCTCGCATACGAAATTGCGCAGCTGTGCATAGTTTTCAAATCAGAGTGAGACTCGCAATGGGGTGGGAGGAGGGGGGATAGAGGGGAGACTGGGGAATGGAACTGAAACTTCGACTGAGACTTCGACTTCGACTGTGGCTATGTGACAGTCATAGATATCGTCAAGTCAAATGGATTACCTTTATCTTTGATTCACATAGCCCCCCGCTCCCCCCCCCCCCCCCCCCCCCCAAAACCAGCAAAACAGCAACCAAGGGAAACAATTGGAGCAGTCCACATTTGTATTTACGTGTATATAGTGGGAGATATGTACATTAGTTAGGCCATGTATTGTGCATACACTGTGAGAAAAAACACACACACATCGCCGAGACTTCAGTTCCCTGTAGATAGGTTTAACCATGAAATATAATTATTTTCAATTCGTAGAAAATACATACAAATAAATATAAATGATATTTAAAACGAATATTTTCCAATTTCCACTCTCTGAGTG